TGCCTAAAACCGGAGACACCAGGTCAACCTTTGAGACACCCTTGCCCCTGCCGTTGTTCCATTAAGTATGTCCACGCCAAGTGTCTTCTCTTTTGGCTCAGTTACTCTGGTTTAGATAGTTGCGAGGTATATCGATCGATTTCCAACTTCTTCTTTACGTTATTAAATAAAATTGTTACTGGACAAAGAATCAAGGGATAACAAACAAGACCAATTTCCTTAGGCCTTACAACTTTTAATCAGGCCCGAGCGCGGTCTAGTAAAGATCATGTAAGGTCGGATTAGTAGAGACTTTTTAATACTAAAGCATGTGTGTCAGCCAAGAGCAGTCATTATTTGTGGTGAGTAATTTCTTTTTGTGACTAATGATTATGTATGCCCTCTTAAATTTGAAGATATGTAGGTGGAAATATCCGTTTAGACGAGTTTATTCCAAAAACACTAACAAGACCAGTTGATCATCTTCACAAAGATGAGTAAATGGAGAATTTAGAGATACAAATTCACTTTTACTGCCATTCAGAGACTAGGCCGATTAGCCGGAAACCAGTCACTAGTTGGAAACATCATTACAATGTCAATTTGTGTTTCTTTTAATTCATTATTGTTTCACTGGTTATATTCTATGTAGTTTATGTAATATGAGAATTTAAAATTTATAAGTACTCGTGGATTTGAGGTTCCGTGTGTTTTCAAAGAAAAGTTATATCTTGGGAAGAATAGAAATAGTACTCTAAAAAGTAGTTTGATTGGCGAAGTGATTGATCACTACCGACTGGACGATTTTATCGGTTTTTAATGAACCGCTAAATCGAATGATTTGACATGTTTATATGTAATCAGTATACCAACTATACATGACATGCATGTCTATCTACAATCAGTTACGTTCAGAGACTCACGGTTGTTTACGGCAAATGCTATCATTCATATACTTTTAAAAAAGTTTTAGCCGGAAATCCGTAATCCTTCTCGTCGGAAACCACAACATTTATATCATATTATCATTTATGTCCAAGAATCATTTGATCCTATAACTTCTAGATTGTGCCTTTAAATATTTTTCTATATGAACTAACAACACTTTGTAAAAAATAAAACGTTATTGTAGAAGTTTGTGGACTTAGTTCAGTTTGTTGGGTATAATCTTCGTCTTATATATATTTTGCTTCATGAATTGTTAATTAAGAAAATCTGTTTGCGCGTGACATATGTAAGAATATTTTACAAAGGGTTTCTGATGGTGAAGAGTTGTCTTTTACGAATTAAACGAGAAGATCCAGAGATTGCAAGACTCTATCTAAACCAAGAAGAAACTCTTAAGTTTTATGGACTCGTAGTTTTACCAGAATGTGGCCAACCGTTTTTTACAAAGCTTGTTATACTTATGAATTTAAGGTGAATTAGTACAAAATCAATGCTATGTAACATTACAGAAGGTAGTGATAAGACGTTTGGTCTTTACATTCTTACTTAAGAATCATCGAGGATAAGAAAGAGCAGGCCCCTATTCTACCAAGGTCTTGGACCAAACTTATAGTTGCCCCCACAAAGAGCAAAGAGTAGTCAAAAGTTTGTACTTTGTACAGTTGTATTTATTTTATTTTCCAAATTGACTAAAGAACATTTGAATTTTAGGATGATTATTTATATGCATATAGCGATAGATTGCGATGTATATGCAAGCCGAAAGAAACGACAACTACCTTTTCTCAACTGGTTAGAATGTATGAAAGCTATGACTGTTGAAGATTATTTAAAGTTCTTAACAACTTAATATTTTCAAAATATATAAAAGAGGTGAAAAGTCAACCCCAAATAATAAACTAGTTCACATGTCTCTGGGAAAATTAGTTTCACACTTCACGCACACGTAACATGTTAAGCGGACCGAACCATCCATCTGTTTAGTAGATACACGGACAACACTTTCTTCTTCTCTCACCGCTCGTCTGCTTCACGGGCCACCACATGTCCAGACGCATCAGTCTAATCAACGGCCCAAGATCTGATCTGACATGTCATGTGTGAATTAACTGACGGATGGGGAGGAACGTGATGGGCGGTGGGATCTGCACGTGATCAGAAGAGAGCAACGGTAAGATATTCGGATGGTTCTTTTAGTGGTCGCAGTGACCGTTTTAACGAAATTATTGTGAACCGACATTATCAAGTTATCATATTATGAAACAAATATTTTCAAGTACGATCGATTATGAGTTTATGACCTCTAATATAATCTTGAACTAGATTTTGATCCGCGCTTAAAAGCGCGGAAATTCTTTATGATTAAAAATTTATATAATTGAGCTTTGTCATAATTTAAATAATATTTTGATATAAAATCAGTTCACCAAAATTTGTGGTGATGATTGTTTTTCATTAGTTTTTAGTTTCAGGTTTTATTTTTAGATTTTGGGTTTTGGTTTTTAGTTTTTAAGTTTCTACTTTTCATTTTCAGTTTTTGGTTTGGGTTTTTAATTTTTAAACCCGCTGAGTTAGTTTGAATAAATATTACCAACAAACAAATCTCAAATAATTGAACATCTAATTTAAAACTCAAAATATGAAAACAAATTTAAAAAAAAAATTTGAAATAGTTTATTATGTAAATAAACAAAGCAAAAAAATATAATATGTGTTTTCAGCTTTTGGTTTTGAATTTTAGTTTTTAGATTTGGTTTTTAGTTTTGCTTTACATTTTTTAATCAGTAAATTATTTAAGAAAAATAAAACAATAAATTATTTAAAAGTTACCAATGAAATTTATCAAAACAAAGTGATTGTTATTTAAAATAAAAAATATATTAACATGTTTTAAAGTAAATGATTTAAATAAATGATTAATAATAGATAATTTTGTTTAGTTAAAAATATTAAATACCTTTTGGGTCTGAAAATAATATTTGATTTTTTGATCTTTTAAGGTGAAAAGTTTATTCAATATTTTTGGAGTTTTTCTTAATACTAAGCGTAAAAACCAAACTATATAATTTTTTCAAAAAATAAAAGTAAACCCAAAACTATATTCCATAAATAATCACTGGTTTAATTTAAGTATAATTAGTAGATCTTCATATTCCATATTTTGATGATTTATATTCTTTTAGAACATTCCATATTTGTAGGAGAAAATATGTGTTTTTGGTATATACATAGATATCTGCCGTATTTGGAAGGTAGTTTACATTAAGGTCGTCTTTTTACATTAATTTTGTTGGTTTAATTTAAGTAATACGGTTCAATTAATTATATGACTTATATTATTTGTAACATTATAGAAAGAGTCCAAATTTAAATGACAACTTGTATTAGTAGATAAAAAGAATGACTCTATTTTAATAGAGTAGATAAGCAGGGAAATATGAACCGTAAATATATTACAGCTAGGTAATTCCATATTTCCTCTGTTTCATTCATAATAGGTATCATTTTATTTTTTTTTTTGTTATAAAAAATGTCATTTTACAATACTAATGTAAATTATATTTATTTTCAATTGAAAATTAATTAAAAAGTACTGTATTGATTTTATAAATAATTATTTTTCTCTCAAATACTATTGATTAAAAATGTATAATTAATAATATCTTACATATATTTCTATCACTTTTTTAATCTGTGTGAAAATGTTAAAAAAATATTTATTCAGAAATGAAGTGAGTTTGTGTTGGCTGGTCTGGTCTTATATAGGTAAAAAACACTTATGCTCATAAATCGTTATAGATCTTTTATCTTTCACTTCTTTTTGTTGATTCTTTCAACTTTTATATAAAAATTGAAGTTTAAAATTAGTGTTTCATGAGCTTCAACTCTGAAGACAGAACCAGTCCAATGTATTAAGATTGTATTTTATTTCCATTTATTATTTAGGAAAAGTAATACATTTTGTCATTTAGGAAAATGTAGGGTTTTCTTCAACAATAAATTTAACTCTAGTTACAATGAATTATTAAATTCTTTTCTTTCTTTTTGCTAAAGTTCGTGAGCTCTTTGTGGAGAAGAATTAGAATTATACAATAGGGTTGCTGTACAAATACAATAATGATATCAGAAATGTAGGAATATAAAAGATCATTATTTGAAAGAAATCATGATTGCAACAATAGTCCTTTTACCGGTAAAGGTTGGTTAAGATCACTGATCACAACGTACGCAAAGCATTTTAATTCCTGAGTGTACCTAGCTGTAGACTGTCTGATACATCTCATCTAACCCTAATTATTTTCTGGATTATTAAGTGTTTGGTACATAATAATATAGATATCCAATTATTGTAAAGATTAAATCCAAAACACTGTTTTGTTTACTTATTTTTTGACAACACGTTCAACCATCTGCAACCACTAGAAAACAAAGTTTTCTTTCTTTTTAATTATTATTTATCTTGCGATTTTATGCACACACTTGTATATATCAACTGCAAACCACATAATTCATAAAACGTACCGAGACCATTAAAAATAAAGATGGTAAAATGTTTGAGAGTCGGATTTAAATCTTCAAAATGTATGGAAAATCTGCTATTCTCATATTAAACACGTTCGTATAAATAACTATAGTTGAAATTGCGAGTGTGAATGCTTAAACCATTGTCTCCCACTTCAATATGAAACAAAAGAAATAATGATACTTTGTATTCATCGTTCGTGGTTAAGTAATCATTTCATAGTTTTAGTTACGTCGTTCGATATATCGTACAATAGTAGGGTAATGAAAGACAGCGTTGCGTCAAGAAAACGACGTCGGTTTTGGCCATCGTTCGCGGGACCCAATAAGTTTTTGTTTGGGAACTCGTCACACGTGCGCGTTGGTGCTTCTTTTTGAAGATTTTCGAGTATATTCCACAAATGAACCTCAACTAAAATTAAGTAATCTAAAAACCACCCTGAAAAACAAAATATCTTGATTAGCTCTTGCCTCCAAAGCAATACTAGCTGTAGACAGGTTAATTTAATAGAATAACTTCATTAATGGAAAATTCTGGATTTTATAAATTAATATTCAGTGTATTTTGTTTACCACAATCGAACACGCTCCCATTTTTTTGTCTAATAATAAAATAGGGGGTAAAATTTAATATTACATATATTAAGGACCTTTTGAAAATGTTAAAACTATTGCTGTATTTCTTTAATAAACGGAGAATCATGACCGAGAAACTGACTCAGCAAGTTTCCCGATTCGTTTCACAACCTCAGGAGACAGTTCCTTAACCGGTTTCTTCTCCTTCTCCTGTCGAAAATCAAAACCAAGTGCGTCCGACACTTCTTCGGAGCTCCATCCAGCTTTACGGAGCGACTCCGAGAACCGACCCGCTTTCAGAAGCAACGCATCGAGAACCGCCTGGTTGTCCAAAATCACCATCTCATCCTCAAAGAAACCAGATGGTGACACGTGGACAATATCATCAACGTCCGAATCACTCCACCCGCCCACCCTTAAAACCGACCCGATCCGGTTCACGTAATCATCAACCCATTTCGGCGTCTCGGAACGAGGCAACTCCAAGTATCTCTCCGGCGACGAAGAGTGTGAAGAGGAAGACACCGAAGAAGCCGAGTTTCTCCGGCGTCGGTCCACCGCCGCGTCGCTCCAAAACTCCACCCATCTCGGTGTACCCGACCCGCGAACCCGACCCGAATCTAAGCTAAATCTTGAATAATTTGAAGAGGACGACGACACGGTGGATATCTCGCTAACCGAACGCTGCTTAGTGAGAAGACCCGGAGACGAATCGGATCCTCTGAAAACAGACTCACGCTCGAAAAAATCCGAAAGATCCGACCCGCAACAGAAAATCCGGGTCTCGTCGATGTAGAAAACCGGGTTACCCGCTAAAGACGGGCTACAAGGGATAAAACAATGACCAAAGATGGGTATCATCAAAGGAGCTCTCTTGAGAGCGTTCCTCGCGACCCGTAAGGCCTTTTCCGGGTCGGACGGTCTCGGGCCCCAAGACTTGCTCCAGAGAGTGTTTCTCGCGATCTGAAACGACACGGCGGCGACGGGAAGATCGATCATGGCTCGGAGATGGAGACGAGCTCCGGGAGAGCGCCAGTCCGGAAACCCGGCTCCGACGGGTAAGCCGGCGGAGAGGACGGCGCGGAGATCCGGCGGGAAGGAGAATGCGAACTCGGCTTCGGCTCTGGCGAATTCGGCGTCGGTTAGACCCGGTTGGACTTGGATCCTGGAGGTGTGTAGGTGTGAGATGACTTGGTCGGAGAGAGATGAGAAGGAGACGAGACTGTTTCGGACCGTTGGAGTTTTTGGTGCGGCGGCGCGAGCTGAGAGACGGCGGAGACCCGCGGCGTGTGATGGTCGGAGACCGGTCATTCTCCGTTCAACGTCGACCATTTTGCTTTTTTGGGGGGGGGGGTAAGGAACAGAACTTTGTTGGAAAGAGTGAGCTTTATGAGTTATGGGGGTGTTTCAGATATGTCTGAATCAGATCGTGGCGTACTGAAAAGGATGATAGGTGAGAGAGAGAGAGAAGTTTTGTTGAGCTAGATAAAAGAGGTTCTTGTATTTATAGCAAGTTTTAGTGGTGGGTCCTACTAGTTGTCTTTTTTTATTTATTTATTGGGTTTTTATTTAGTAATTGATGAAAATGTTGAAATAGTTCGTTGTGTGAGAATCTCTAATGACTTCATCGACGAGACTAATTTGATGATTAAAGTCTTTTGATATTTTTTTTCTTCATTTAGATTCTTTTAATTATCTAAATCAGCATCAGATACCTTTCTGATCGGTTTACACTTTTGTATATTTCTCTTTCACGGCTCTGATTTTATTGGAAACACGTAGGACCCATGCGTAAATTGTGGATACAAGTAAGGTTGATATAAATCAGATTGTTAATATAACAGTTTGTTAAAAAGAAAAACAGATTGTAACTGATCAAACATTATATATACTTCGTTGATAAATAACTAACCATTTAGATAGATGGAGCATTATTTTGGACTGAAATCGCTTGAAAAATAGTTTAAGCAAAAAAATATAACTGTTTGATAAAAAAAACAAAATTATAACTGATCAATCATTATACTTGGTTCATAAATAACTAACGATTTCGATTGATTGAGCATTATTTTGGACTGAAATCGCTTGAAAAACAGTTAGAGATGAAAACTAAATATAAATTTACCCATTTTATAGTTTTATGGACTAGACATGACAATCAAATTTTGTTTTAAGAACAAATTAACTGAACAGCCGATCTTAATGTTGTTATTGTTCTTTTTGAGAATGCAATGCTATAAAATATCACGAAACTAGTTATGCTGTTGATCTATAATAATTACAGAAAGCAAAGATGTTAAGCTATAGTATGTAATATATTTCATCAACCTGTTTTTGGATCATTGTTTTTTTTCCAAGTATTAGCTCAATTTTTCAAAATTTCATCCGGTTGTACCAAAACTGACTATCTATCCAGAGCCGTGCCTCAATGTTAAATTTTGAAATATTGGCTTATGGCATCAAAATTTGTAGAAACAATTAAGGGCATACTTTCTAGTTTTTTTTATTTAAGCTTAATTAACAAAAATATAAAAAAATACTTAAATGTTAAAACTCTTATAATAGTTAGAATAAAGAAGACAAGCCTACATTATGGTTTTCATACTTAAGCAACCAAAATAGTATATGGTCATTTTTAGTTATCAAAATACAATAAAATATAAAAATCGGTTATTAGATAAAAATTGTTGGATTTGACTATTTTATACTTGTTAAAGTATATCACGTAAAATATTAATGTTCTAGTCACTATATTTATTTTAATAGAACTGGTTAAAAAATTTTAATTTAATATATTCTTCATTTTTTTAGTAATTTAGCTTTTATTTGTTTCTACTATATAACTTAAGTGTAGGCATTTTATTTAAACTGGCTTATGATGGCAGCTCAAATTGTTGGCACGGCACTGTATCCATCCGGTTTATAGACTTATACTCAGACCTAGATCGGTTGGGTTAGAGGTGTGTTTCGGATTCAGAAGCATTAATGCACATAATAAACAAAGTGATTAGACGTAAGCCAATATCATACCCACTTTACCCACGCTGCATCAAATCATGTTCCTCATTTCATTAGGGACACCATCGATATCAATCATTGTTTAGTTCTAATTTGGATTTATCAACTTAATCATAGTACTTTTTGCAGTGGTCTTAACAGTTTTAAAGTAGCATATTAATCCACAACCAAACCCATATGTTTTTGTTTCTTTCTAAAATCCTATACTCGAAAGGCCAAAGAAAAAAGTAACACAGTTCAGCTTACGCGTGAATTGTAGTTGTAAAGTTTAAAGATCCACCGCTTGTATTATTAATTCTGTTAAAACTTTACTTATCTACCTATATAGTTGTGGTTTAAATTAATGCGATAGTGAATCTATGACCGTTGATGCATAATCTTTGGGGCTGAGCAATAAAGACGGCCACGCGACTCTAGGCCACACTACTCGGGAATCTCACATGCCAATACCAACCAATATGGCATGGATTCTTTAGAAAGGAAAATGTTTCGAGAGTGCAATCGCAAAAGTATAGTTTTAAATAATAATGTGAAAGTACTACAATTTTCAATACCATTATTAAAATGTGTGGACATAATTTTTAAAACTACATCATGTGTAAACATACTAGTTTCTGTATTTGTTTTCTAACGTCGTCGAAGCTGCCTAGTATTAAAAACATTAAGTATCAAATAAACGGTCCCTTTGTCAGCTTAACCACATGTTAGGTATTGGGTTTTCAACTTTTTACATAGCTATGTTTTTAAGCACTTATTAATTAAGTTGTATGCTTTATTTCGAAATACAGTCAAACTTCATGAATTATTTGTCAAATACTCCATCATGTATGTTAACTAACGGGTCAACGGCATAAACTTATATAACTCGGGATTAATTAATGTATTAAAGACATTTAATATGTTACTCAAAGAGATTTACTTGTAAAACTACATTTGTTGTGAATCTTCTGATGTTCACACTCCCGAATAATCAAATGATACACTACTTCCAGCCCATCTGAAGAAAGAAACTTAAGGTATACTCGTCTTGTTTGAACTCCCATTTGGACAATTAAATAGCATCCAAATTATACATATACGATTTTCTAACTAGTAACTACACAAAATCATATCCTAATTCATAAGTAACAGACACGATTTTATAATCGTTGGTGAAGAGACGTAATGATTCTTCAATTTCACAGATTCTTACAAACTATACAATTTCTTCAAAATAAAATCGCAAATTTTTGTCCCTTCACTCAACAAATCCAGTAATAAAGTTTAAATCTGGTAGTAACTGGTATATTATTTTCTGAATATTTTTGTCACTCGACTATTTTCTACCATTTTTCTAATTGTGTGATTCAACCTCTAAAAGTATAATAATTTAAATTAAGCTAACTAGCTAGCTAAGTAACTTCTAGGCCACTCCACTTGCTCTGTCCAGTTATAATTGTGTCCGACCCGTTTCCAAAGTTTTAACTATTTATCTATTTTTATATTAGAAATATTCTCAACGTTTGGTGGCGTTATACCGTTCACAAACGTGATCCATCTACACTATTAATCAACAAGTTCGCTGGACGGAATCCATCACTATAGTGGTTATCATCTTTATAGTAGTCGATCATGAACATATAATAACCAAAATAAACAAACAATATGAATTTAAACCTTAGATCTCGTGATCATTAAAATGGAGCAGAAAAGAAGCTGGATCAGATCTATAGGTAATATAACTTATAAAAGATTTTGGTATTATCAGTGATGACAAGACAAACAATTATTTTATTTATCAAAATTGGCAGTTTTTCGCCGATGCATGGACTATATATTTTATACAACGATGAGAAAGGTTGGACATAGGTATGGGTAAGAGTAAATGAAATGCTCATGTGGTGAAGAGTATTTGTTGTCTGGATGTCAAGCTTTGGAACATTTACAAGTTAGATGTTTAATTGTTTGTTGAAGGTGTGCGACATTTTGTAGGGTCCGTTTGTCCCAACCACATATCTAAGATCTTTTAATGCTTTCTGTATAGGAGATGTAAGGAGAGTGACATTTTCGCAACTAGTTCATTGGTTTGTTTAGGAACATGTATGTTTGTGGTCGATTGACTGATATCACTAGAGCCAAGTTAGACATATAGTATGATTTTAACATTCCAGATCCAGTTTCATCCATTTTTGTTGTCTATTGCACATGAATATATAGCTCACTAGTTTATATTAAGATTCGGTACCAAGGCTGACTAGAGAGTTCTTACTCTTTCACACTTTTAACATAATTCTTTTGAAGACTCTTTACTTTTGTTTTTTCCTCTATTTAGATGTTTTACTTATTAGAGGGGGAGTCAGTCGTATCTGAATATTTCTGACATGTATATTGTAGTGTTAAGACGTCACCTAATATATCTATTATTTGTCATGACAAATGAATTACAAAATAATAAGGTCTATTTGACTATCCCAAATCAAGTTTAGATAAAACCTTGTATTTTGCACAACAAATGATAAGGTCAAACATCTTCGACTTCACGTGATGTTCCTTATATCTTTGACATATATGTCGACGAAATTTATGTCAATATCCTTGAATTTGAAGTGTCGTTGCAAAAAGTCATTGTTATTAGACAATTTTGGTTCGTTTTGTGTGGCTTCGGCTCTATCGACAGTTACTATGTCCCCACTCGATCACAACTATCGATCAGTCAATTTGGTCCAACTGATTTGGTTTGGTTCAATGTCTTCGTAAGAATTATGAGAAATGTCAAATCTCTAGGTGTGTTGGGTTGGTTTTCATAATTGATTTTTCTTGTTGCCATTAAGTTTGGTGTACTATACTTCCTTCAACTGATTGAAAAAAATAAAAAATGTACATAACCCAAATAATTTCACTAATTATATCATACATCAACCAACAAGAAAATACTAGCATGTGTAAACGATAATTACCAAACCTAGCACTTCATAATTTTAACTAAATTTTTGAGACTGGTCGGACGACTAAGCCATGATAATTGTATTCGTCCAGAAGAAGTGGTATATGTTGGACTTTAGTGGACCAAAGGAGAACGATTCGACCACTAAGGAGGGACTGAAACTGCACCTTCAAGCTTTCCAGAGGACCAGAGGCGATATATATATATTGGTGTAGCCTGTTCTCCAAAAGCTAGACTAGTGGTTCTTTGTTCAAAAATATATTATGCCATGATCAAATGGTAAGATAACATACTTGGAAAAAAAGATGTATTGATTTGATCGCATCTTCTTTTTGTACCACCATTTTATCGCATTTTAAGGCAAACCACTCAATATAATAACGAAATTCACAAAGGAGACCTATATATCTTTGTAAAACCTCATAACCTATATAATTATATTAAAGATTGCAAGAGGGTCAAAAGCTCCCGCCATATATATATATACTAAAATATCATAAATAATGTGCTCAATACCTTATTACCTTCCTCACTAAACCTGCTTTACAGATAATGATGAGAAGTAGACCGTCTTATAAAAGCATATAGGTATATCAAGTTGCTATATATATATATATATATATATATATATATATATATATATATATATAATTTTAGACTCATACCCACAAGAAAACACAGTGTCCAAGTTCTAATCAAATATAATTACCACCTATTACAGTTAGTAGTCTGAACTCCATTGAAGGTCTTATGAAAATACATATTTTAAAAATATATAGCAACCTAAAAAGACGGTCTAATCGTTTCAGTGATAGACAAGTATGTACTATAATACTCTCTCTAGTTTTTAATATATATAACGTTTAGAAAAAAGAGTTTAAAGTAGAAAATGTTTTTAAATTTAAATACAAAATTTCTTCATTTTTTTTTATATTATGTGATTTTTGTATTTTGCAGTTATTTTATCATTAATAAAATTGTAGTAATGTGAATAATCAATTGTGTTTATACTTAGAAAATGTTAAAACATAATATGCCTGTACAATTATAAAACGTCATTTATTTAAAAATGATAGAATAATGCATAACAATATTACTGTTAGGTTGAATAAATTCAAAGCGGCTTAGAGCATCTCCAACCCCACTCCAAAACCCACTCCAAACTCCATTTTGCAGTAAAATCATCTCCAACCCTACTTCAAAACTCACTCCAAAATGGAGTAACAAACATGATTACTCCAAATATGGAGTAAACCAACTCATTACTCCAAAATGGAGTTAAACTTTTTTATTTATCAAATAGTCCTCCACATTTATATATGTTTCATTTTTAATAAAATATTATTATAAATAAGTACTATATATTATAAAATTTACTGTTATATTTCTTAATTATATAAATAGCCTCATTTTTAATAAAATATTATTATAGATAAGTATATTAATATTATTTTACTATATATTAGAAAATTTACTGTTAATATTTTTTAATTATATAAATAGCCTTGTATTTAATAAAAATATTATTATAAATAAGTATATTAATATTATTTTACTATATATATTATAAAATTTACTGTTAATATTTTTTAATTATATAAATAACCATCTGATGAACTCTTTTATACAACATAATATATATAATATAAAACATAAAAGATCATACATATAGAAAATGAAAGATAAGCACCATACAAAAGAAATAACAT